TCTGAAATCCCAAGTCTTGTGACATTTTTAATTATTTTATTCATTTAAATAAAGAATTTAATCCAACGTCTTAAATTCAGTGCGGCATTACTTTTAACCACATACAAAATACTTTACGACTGAAAGCAGAGCAGTGAATGTAAGTCGAATGTTGTAGTTATACTTTTCTACTTGTTTTGTTAAAATATAGACTCTATTGAGTCACTTTAAAGTTATTCAAAATTCTTTTCATTTTACTCCAAGTGAACATTTCCAACCTTTGATTCCAAACCTTTTTGGGGTTTAGAAAATTGAAGTAAAAGGGGACCTTTGTAAATGGGTTTTGTGTTTGAATTATATTCCTTAAATTCGAGACGATCTTTGAATTTAATCTTGTTTCTTTGGTTCAATATATTGCATTTTAATTTAATAAAGTTGTGTCAAGTAACCCATTCTTGACGTAACAGTTGTATCTACTACAAACAAGCACATGAAATTATGAAATCTAATCTCTAATTGAATAAACAAAAACGAAATGAAACTCTTAACCGTTATGATAATAGAATCACACCCTCTGTATCTTTTGCTGACTCTGTTAAACTCAATAGACAATCAAATGTACAAAAATCAAATACATCAGTTAATCGTAAATAAAATCAAAGATCAATTACAACAACAAATAATTTGAGCAATAACATAGATAATAGACAATCTGAAGAACAATCGATCCCCGCATGGGCAAATAAGATGCAAGAAACAATTATCAACTCTTGTTTAACAACTATCACACCTATTACTAATCAAGTAGAAGCAAATAAAAAAAATATTGAAAAATTATGGATCATCTTAAGCTCAATGGCGGGGACGAGGCATAATTCACAGTCATCTACTGACAATAATGAAGAAACAATATCAATTCAAGGATTGAATATTGTCTCAATTAACGTAAACTCAATCGTGAGACAACAACGTAGATTTTTCCTACAAAAATTCATAGAAAAAAATAATATTGATATTGCACTTATCAA